TTTTTTTTTTTTTTTTTTTGTAAGAAGACAAAGAGCTCTGTACACGTGTGTTAAATGGAAAACCTATCCAACTGTAAATCTGTAACACATTCATATCTAATGGTCTCCATGGATCTTGTTGTCACAACGACTAATTATTATTCCTACACCCCACGTTAAAGAAAAAGAAGTAATGAAACGATTTTCGGAAATGTCTAGAATGGACATCATTAAATATCTGTTAATGTTGCATTAGAATGCTTACTTTAATATAAGTGATCAATTTAGTTTTTTTATTTTGGTCCAAAATAAGTGTCTATTTATATAATCAAGAAAAAATTCAATTTGTTTTTTCAAAATTACCCTTAGGTACGTATCGCTAAAAAATCACTTACTCCTCATATTTGAGAAGAGAAGTAAGTGCTATTATACTATGGTGCAACATTTAATGAAGGGTAGTTTAGTCACACTAACTATTTTCATCTAGAATTTAGTATTTTTTTAATGGGTGTGCCCAAAGTAAAGTGATCACTTATTATAAACCGGAGGGAGTAACACATAAGTATACGATTATTCTAGACATTAAATCTTGGACAGTCTATGAAACATTCATTCGTTTACCTGTGTTTCAAACTCTTTCTCGCTACTTCCCTATTTTTTTTTACCGGTCTGTCTTGATTTTCCGGCAACTTAATTCTATCTTTTCTTGTGCATATACGTGCATAGAATTCTTTTTTATGCTCATATGCTAATTATTATTCACTTATCATAAAAAAATCCTATCAAATATATGAAATAAGTCTTTCTCTAATATTCAAATATAAGAAAAAAAATATTTTCCTTTTAGTTTCAAAGATTAAATTTCAAGTTTTATCCATTTTACTATTCAAAGTCAGTTAAAATAAGTTTCTAATATTTCACTAAAGAGTTTTTAGTTTTCTATGGAAACTTGATTTTTCTATATCTATGTGAATGATACTATTTTTATTTTTTCATAAAAGACGGATAAATAAAAGAGAAAAAATTCAAGAAATTTGATCTGTTTATGTGTATCTGTAATAAACTTAAAAACGTGATTTCTTGTCTTGGACGGTTATGTAAATGTATATAAATATGGAATCTTCTATCTATATTCTATATAGAATTGGAAAAACAAATCCATATTATTATGCCAAGTGTCAAAATAATAATTGAACATGTGTCCGCTTTTAAGACTAACCTCCAACTAACTTGGAGGTTAAAAAATAATTTAAAATAGAAATAATTTTAAATAAAGAAATATTTACAAAAAAATAGGAAAAAAAACAAGAAAAAAACACCTGATACAATTCAAAAAGAATAAACGAGTGCCCCCCCCCCCCTAAACTTCTTTGCTAAAAATCTGTAGTTGAATTCTATATTATTTAAATAAATAAATTAAAAGATGAGAAAACCCCCATGATCCCACAAAAATTGTAAAATCACAAAAAGATAACAAATTAACACAACGAAAGCTGCTGCATAACAGTTGCAATGAAACCTGTCAAACTTAAGAAATATCAATTACAAAGAAATAGGGGGGGGGGGGGAAAAAA